ATTTCTCTTCAAATAATTAAGTCAGTTTATTTTCCAACAGCCATATAAATTTAAAATATGAAACAACAATAATACAGCTATAGAATCTAGGTTTTCTTTCAAAGCAGCAGCATATAAAACATAGAAAAGCTAAAACCTCAGCACAAGCTTCAAAAAAAACAAGGACTGAGTGAATTTGCTGAATACATGAAACTCACAAAATACAGTACACAAAAATACTGGAATGCATAAGATATAAAGCTACACATTTTAGGTAAAGACAGACATTGTAAAGTATACAAAATTTGCAAAATTAAACCATGGGATTAGGGGGAGAGTACCATGAATACAAAGAAGTTGGCAATTAATACTTGTAGATGGAGAGAAGAAAGTGGCAGTTTTACATTTAGCATTCAGTTTTCAGCTTCACGACTTCACTTTCTTAGCATCTTTTTTCCCAGAACTCTCAGTAGCCAGATCTGCTTTTCTCTTCTGTGACTAAAAAGGGAAAAAAAAAATTTTATAAATTCAATGAAAAGGTGGCATTATGGAAACAAAAAAAAAATTGAAGTACATGACTAACTATTCAAAAAGAAGTTAAGTGACCCTAATGTATGATATATTTCAATTTGGCTTTGTAGGAAGGGCAAACAAAAACCCCAGATTTAGACACTGCTAGCCTTTTTGTCTTCTTGAAATCATTACATGGTCTCAGTGGTACAGGTACCACACATACCATGAATTGAAGGAAAAGACCTTGATTTATACACAATTCTGTTCTAAAGATGACAACTCTTCAAAGTAAAAGAAGCACTACTTATCATTTCTTCTTCCAGGAACTACTGTGTAGGGGAGGAGTAACAATCTGAGATTAAATTAAAGCAAACGTAAGATGTAAGGTAGAAAGAGGGCAGCGCTACGTTTTCTTAAAGAGAGTCTTCCTCTGCTACTTAAACAAAATCGTCTCAAAAAAAACCCCGCCGAAATACTACGAATTGGGAATACCTACGTAAGATCTAAGAGAGCTGTGAATAGACAAATATTTCAGTTTAATCTATCAACTAACAGTTTATATTAAAACAATCAGTGGCTACAATTATCTTTTTCATTTTCTAACAAAATATAATTGAATTCTACCCCATTACAAGTAAATAAGTGCTGTTAAACATACTGCTGTAACTTTTGCTCCTCTTTTCTTCTTTTCAGCTCTTTCTTTTTCCTCAATTTCCATATTCTCTTTTTCTATTAGAGATATGAGAGTATTGCAGCGTCTCTGAAACTCCTATGGAAACAGAAAACATCAAATTCTCCAAATAAATTATACAAAATTCTCTCATTTACATAAACATGTTCAAAATTCTTGAATTCCAAAATACTTAAGTTTCCTCAAAACGTTCAATATCCAGATACTAATAACATCAGCTTAGTTACCGTTCATCTGTCTTTACCTTAGTGTCACCTTCTTTATAAACACAGAGAGATTCACTGAAATATTCGACTTCCTGACAAGGAGTTTTCAGGATTGTCTGCATCTTCCAAACTGACACCCCAAAAGACTGATCTAATCTTTCATCTTGTTTAGATGAAGCAAATTATAGCTTGCCAGCATGCTATGCCAGATTTTAGGAAAAGAGGTCTTCAAGTATATCTTTAGAGCAGAGAGAAAAGGAATCAAAGCTACCTTAAGCAGTACTTTCCTGTGGCACACAGCCTATTTTTCTGTGATAAGACACTGTAGAGCTTCAAACCAGCAAAAATCTACCCAGTCTGAAACCATGAACCCACTGCTGTGTTTTTAGTCAAACAGCACCCAAAAGGTAGCAGGCCCTAAATGCTTTTAGCAGCAGGACTTCCGAGCCATCTGAAAGTGATCAAGATTAAATGCCATAAGGTCATTTATACATTAAAAAATATTTCCAATACAACTCTGAAAGTATCTGCATTGCAGTTAGTGACAGTTGACTTGTTAATAGAACTCATTTGACTTGGACAGTTTCTTGTATCCCATCTCAAAAAAAATCTCTTACCAAATACATAACAGTACTCATTTTTATTACAATTATTCAGTATGTTCTATGTACATTGAGCACAGTGATTTTTTCCAACTCAAAGCAAAAAACTTTCTTCTGAGGAAAAAAAAAAGCCGGAAAAATGTGTCTTATCACTATTAAATTCAATGAAGCAATTTTTGAACCACAAGCTATTCTAGAACTACCTAGTAGCATAAATCTTAACCTATAACTGGTCTATTTGCAATGAAGTGAACAGGTGACCTTTTTGCCCAGGAATTAGCCTCTATTTTCTCAGCATCTGTAACCTGTATATTGCTTCAGCCATCATATTACGTGATGGAAAACGATGCAGCCTGCACGCTTTCTTGATCCTGAACGTTCTGAAACACTCAAGCATATGACTCATCTTTGAGACATTAATACCCTCAGGCTTAACCACATTCCTGAAGTTTCTAGTTTCCACAGATTCCTCTACAAAGGGTGCTCCTTGGCCTTGGATGAAAACTGTGTAATTCAGAATGGACACTGAGAATCCTACCACCACATGATTTTTTTTTTTTTTTTTACAACAACAACAAAAATTCTGCAGGACACTTTTCTTTACAACTCCTTACTGGAAATGTTCCAGTCTCATGCATGTAGTTTTGCAAACAGGATATTATAATGAGTCATTTCTACCACATCCATGTAAAAGTAACCCCACACCCCCCAGTACAGGTTCAAACATAAATTAGGGTGCCATGCTTGTGCCCTGGAACGTGACAGTCCTGCTGGACCTAAATTACTCTCACTTCAACCACTAAAACCCCTCAAATTCTACTCACACAACAGTTTTTAGATAAAAAGGCAACAAGTCTGAGAAAACTTGAGTGCAAGCCATCCCAACATACACTGCATCCCAAATATAGAACAAAAGAGAGCCTCTGTCTCAAAAACCTACACTCTACAGACGAATAGAGATGATAAAAAGTAACAGACAGAAGTAGAAAGATGATTGTCAGTATGTCAGAAGCATTTTACATCATTGAAATTTGTGTGCATTGCACTCAAAGACTTAGGAGCTGTAGGTAAAGACTGATGGCAAGCTGCTCCATAATAACAATCAGCTAGATCTTTCTGAGTATATGAGAAACTGGTTTGCGTTAAATTCAAGACAAGCAATTAATCAGAAAGGACTAAAAAAATAACCTTGATCCATTTGCCTAAGGCACTAAGAAAAACCCTCCTCTTTCCTGGGGAAAAAATGCTTGCATAAATACATACATTGAGTAAAGTGTACAGGTTAATGGTTAGACTTTCCAGATGGACTGCTACTCCAGAACAACACGCTGTGGACAGGGGATGGACTCAGAAACAGTTTTCTCTAGAGAATCACAGCAGCAGTTGACACTAAGATGTGACATGCACATGGGTTTCTTCTACACCTACCATCAGAAACAATCTGCATGACAAATCCTGCATTGAGCTACTGACATTTCAATATGGACTGATCCATTCCATTTTGTTACTATAGAAATACACTTAAGAGTTTAAAATGCCTTGCACCTTTAGAGATGAGATTTTATTCAGTGTGCCCTGATACTTTTCCCTTTAGGATGGAAAGAGATAAGATGTACTTTGCTCACCCCTTCATAGCTATAAAGACTAGTATTGCAATAAATAAGATGGGAGCACTGAACCATCACCTTCTGCATGACTGAAGGCAGAGATGCTGACTTGGGAGTGAAAGTAGTCCTAAGCTCTGTCAACAGGCCCATATATTCCTGTATTTACAAAGGAGTCATTTGTCTTATATTGGGTAGGGTTTGCAGAACAGTAGAAGAGAATTTGTATAATTTACGACTTCAGAAAACAGATACATGATTCACTACTGCCATGCTATTTTGCATTCGTCTTGCATGGACAGAAATAAAAGAACAATAACAACTAAACTTAAAAATTTAAACCTCTTGTGCCCAGTTTAAAAAAAAAAAAAAAAAAAAAAACAAACCCTTTAGGCACTCTCAATCTCTTTGAAAACTTACATTTTGGGTAAACCATCTGGTTTTGGAATAAATCAATGAAGCAGATTTTTTGTTTTCCAAAGAGAAATCTTCAGAAGGAGAAGAAACAGAAATAAGAAGATGGAAGATAAATTAGCTATTTCTATGGAATTCAAGAGACATCTAGTGGTTAGTAGAACACAAAGTTTTCTCGAAAAGCCTGGGAAGACCTTTTCAGAATTATGCTGCCCTTTGTAACTTGTTTTATAGCAGTTTGAATGTAATAAAGGGTAATTGAGATCACATGTGAATTTCAGTATTCTAAGAAGTTTTATCCACTTTCACTGAACTATTTATCCCCTTATAAAGATTTGTATTTATACTTGGTTTGTTATTCTTGGTATCAAGTGACTTTCCAGCACATTTCTTCTTAAAAATTACCAAGCTAGTGCAAAATGGACCCACAGAAATTAATAATTTCACAAATGTCAGGATATTTGAATACATAAATTGTATCAGATATTGACAGTTATAAACTACTAAACCATACATATCGTAACAATTTAAAACATTCAAGAAAATTAAATGTATGTTGAAAGCGAAAGATTACTTCAGCTTCGTGTTTTCATACTGTTCAACTGTGTAATAGCAGAAAAACTAAAAATATTAATATTAATGGGTACACTATATTCCCAGTGCCTCAATTTCAGCATTAGACGCCACAGAACATACATCTACACTTCAGCAAATGATTCCTATCCCCTTTAAAAAGATTATACTGAACATAAGGATCTGCAAGAAGATTTAAATTGAATATTTAACTCTACCCCTGACTTAACTATATGTCAACTAATATTAAATGTTGAGCTACATTTTTAATTTCTAATACCCATTTCTATGATTTACTTAAATGGATTTCTCCATAGGCAACTTAAAAGAAACTTCATAATAGACTAAATATCGGAGGTTTCTTTATGGACATAATTTTAAAATCCGGTATTTCTTCAAACACATTTTAGCAAGTAAAGGTTGTAATTCTTTTTAATTAAGGACTAAGTGCTGCACTATCCAGAAACACTTTAATTGCCCAAATATCAAGTAGAAATTGTATTGCATAATTATAAGTAGGAATGGGAAAAGCAAATATTCCCACCTGTTCAAATACACATTTTAAACATTTTATCTTACGTTTTATTTATTCTTAGTACAGTACCCAGATCTCTGAAAGAACATTTTATAAACAAATCCTGAGGCCAGGAAATGAAGACAGTAAACAATAATGCACAGTGGTTCTGCAATTGCTAGACTAAGCTACTAAAAAAAAAATTAAAAAAATCCAGATTTGTATACGAAACAACATTTAAGTTACATGACTGCAGCACAGCATTTAATTAGGAATTTGCTTACAAGACAATGGGGAGAATCTATGACAGCTGTGTACGGGACAGTGTGCTCTACTCTTTTGTATCAGCTATGACCAATATGATTCTGTATTCAAGCAGACAAAAATAATGTTCCAGCTCTCACTCATCGCAAGTGAGTAAGATGAAGTTATTTCTGGCATTATAAAAAACCTGGAAGTACATTTTTCCCGTATAAATACATTCACATGAAAATGCATGCGTGTGATTCTTACATAAGGTGCACAGACTCACAAATTTTACTCATAAGAAAAAGGAACTGAATCAGGGGAGATCCAAGTAAAAATTCCACAACAGAGCTAACAGCTTTTTATCATTAAGAGACCCATACTCTGAGGTTGGTACCTACACAGCGTATTATTTACACAGCGTATTATTTGCAACCACCGAAGTTTCTGTTAGTATTATCACCTCCCACTTAATGACTAAATTAAAAAAGAATGGCTCTGCTCTTCAGACAGAGAAAGGAAAAAAAAATCCAGCTGAAATTCAGAGTACTAGTTTACTTGCTATCAAGCCTATATTATATTCTCCAAGTAGGAACAAAATCTTCAGAAAAGTATAACTAAAAAAATTTTAACCACTTGCATGTGATAATCCTTATTCACAACTACAAAGTATGTTCTAAACCAACTGCCTCAATGATCAATTCTTACACGAACCACTAAATTTCCTCATGCTTTTAGAAATTAAGTACCAATGTTAGAAAAGCTGTTCTTTTCTCCTAGTATATAATTCACACATTTTCAGTCTTTAACATCGTCCAATAATTCTGAAAAGCAGTTGTATTTTAAGAGACATTGTTTGGTAAAACTTTTAGTTTGCCATAAAAGTAGCAAGGATATTTGTAAGGATAGTCTACCTCTGCATTAATCCCTTTGGGTAACATGAGATTTCAGCTTGGCAGGTTTTCTAATCTCTTGTTTCAGCTGTATTGTGTTGTTTGCTGTACTAAGGGAAAGCGTTATTTTATTAAAAACTAGAGATGGGAATAAAGCCCAAAGTTATTCCTTCAGCACTTGTTTCCTAGACTCCAAAATTCTGGCACAAATCCAAATTTTATCCGCTGGTGCTTAAAAAAAGGAACAAGATAATTCATATAAAGACTTAGTCCATGTAACTGATACCTACCATTGCAGTTCTAGATTTGATAAACCAGTCAAATCTGAACTGAGGGGCATTGCGCACACACTGCCTTAGTTCCTCATACACGTTTTCTTTGTCAAAGCCCATCTTGTGTAACATGCATATCAAAAATCTGTCTTCCTCTTCTGTATAATTTTTCCCTTTGTTTGTTCCATACTGTATACGCAACTGATGAAAAGGTGCTTTATACCGTGCAATCTGAATGCAAAACAAAAATAAGGACTATTAAACATACAGTGTTACATCAAGGATTAGTGTAGATTACTGATACATTGTATATTATTTAGGCAATATAAAAAGATAGAACTCCCACCCCCAACTATTCCTTTTCTAAAGGAATTTGGAAGAACTTAGCTGCAGAAAAACAAAAACCTGCAATGATTACTTTGGCATCGAGGGCTTTCTTGATACTGATCCTGCGTTGAATTCTTGCCTCTCCTCGTTCAATTTGAGCCATAATCCTCTCAATGTCCTGTAGTTCATTACAACGTTCCCAGAAAACAGCTAAAAACACAAAACATAGTTTGCAAAATGAAATCTTTTCCTCTACTCTTACTCCATTACTCAGTTGAGGCACTCCAGCAAAAAAAGGAATGCAGTTTGTAGTTCCATTAAATCTTAAAAGATTTGCTAATACTCTCCCTTTTACTATGCTAGCCAAGAAATAAACTTGCACAGACCTTTTATTCAGTGTCTTTAAAAGATAACTATAAGCAAAGGTTTAGTAACAACTGTCACAAAGTTTACATTCAACGTAATTAATTGTAGTCATGTAAAACTGAAAAAAATTACTTTTAAGGATAGCTTTTCTTAACAATGGTGAAACAGGTTAGAGCTGCTAGTCTAGCAGTAAAACATTCATATTTCAGTTTTCACTAGTTATCTCTAAGGTCAGAGACTACTTAGCCTGTTATAAAAGCAATTTGTGGTTTCTCCAGTGACATCTTTTAGCCAACCCAAAATAAATTCAACACTTTGAAGGGAACTCTTGTGGAGCTTTTCCTTTTTAAGCTATAGGAAGAACATTGCAAAGTTAAATTTCATTAAGGCATTCAGTAAAATTAAATCCAAGAATGAAAGAGGAAGAATTCTGTACAAATTAAAAAGCATTATGTAAATATGAAAGACAAAGATACAGTGTACCAGCTAAAATAGCATGTATACTCACAGCATGAAGAATCATGTTGCCTCTATAAGGCAACTTCATGATTCCACGAGACCATGTTGTCAATGTACATTAACTATGCCAGGTTCTAAATTTTGACTAAGGAGGGATAAAGGCAGCTGAAGACAGATCTCTATGCAGCAAATTCAACCTTTTTAACAGGATTAAGTCCTCTGAAAAGAACAGTCATGTACTTTTTACAAAAAATTATTCTTATACACATCCAAATTCTACATCTTGTAATTTTAAAAGAACATGTAGCAAAAATGATGGTGATACTGCATGATTCAGAAATAAATTTCAAAATATCACAAACCTGAATACTCAATGACCTCCTCAGGTGACTTTCCCTCCACCTCACGGGCAATATTGTCTATATCATCACGACCGTATTTCTCATTAGCTTTAATAAACTGGTTAAAATCTCTTTTATTCCAGTTCGTAAAACCCTGTAAGCAGCAAGAGGTCAAGAAGGCATTACTAGGTAGAAGGGAAACATTTTGCAGAATTTTGTCTTATGTATGTATCATTTGCTCCAACCAGCAATGCCTCTGCAATGTCACATAATTACAGTGGTTAATGGTCTTTCAGGATTTCCATAAACTTGTATTATCCAGCGTTTATTACTGATTCATTATAAGTCTAAAGTTATTTTTTTGCATGACTCCACATGTATTAGTAAGAGCTTTTACTCTTCTTTCTTTTTAAATTTTTTATGTGGTATTTCTCCAAAGAAGCAAGCTCAATGACAGGTTACTGTTGTTTAAGTCACCCTTCAGCAGATACAAGCAACAAGTGTCTTAGGAGTATAGGGTGCACTATTACAAGCATCATTACAAGTTCTTAGAGTAGTGCAAATATGTAAATCAAGAGCTCCTACTCTGGACATTTACAAACCTTGAACCAAACAAACAGTTGGATGAAAGCGTAAGTATGTCAAGAAACCATCTCTAGTCCAAAAAGATGCAATCAAATGGAAACTCTATAGCACTGTCAAACAGAAAAATTGTTATGTACTGAAGAAACGAACCCAACACTGAACAACAGTTAAGTGAGATGCAATGCACAAAAACATCATCCAAGAATGAGACATTACAATTTAAAGACAGGGAAAGGAGAAAACATCAAGAACAAACAAACAAGAAAAATCACATGCCTGAACAGCAATTTGTAGTGCATTGAGTTTCTTTCATCACAGAAATACATTTACAAGGAACTCTGTCAGTTCTCCAGCTGAATAAGCTCAATCCACAATTACCTAGCATCTTTACAAGAAGTCTAATACACACAATACAAATATTTCTTTTTAATCATCAACAGCAGGCATATCAGCACCAGCTTAAATGTTTCCTCTGCTATAAACAGGTGAAATTCATAGTCAAATTGTGACCTTGCAAATTTCAGAAGAAAGTCAAGGTATTCTAAGCCCAATTCTTTTACAGCAAATTTTCTGAATCAAAAAAATCCTGCTACTTTCTGAGACACCCCTTCCCTCCTTAACAAGGAGCTTTTAATAAGCCTGCTCAGCAGGGTAACAGTCCAAAAAGTCAAGAAACTAGCCAGTGACAGGGATTCAGACCCAGTATAAAAGGAACATACCTAACAACCCAACTGGGACAAAATTAATAGGCATGACATGTCTTATACATCTGTGTCAATACCATACATGTTGATAGAGACTTGTCCTCTCTGATTCTAACCTTTTTTGATAAAAAACTACACAAGGTAGATGCATATACAAGAAACCCACTGTCTGCATTTCTGCCCACATCTAGTAGTGCATCTACTATACCAATCCTTGCCTCAGAAACGTTGCAGGCATTCAAGGAAATAGCAGGTGACTAACACAAACTTGTTCAAGGACAGGAAAGGTCCCTCAAAGCAAAACCAAGCCAAATCACTACATATTGTGTGCTTTCTTCTTTCTGTAACATCAGTGTAGCTTTCATGTGCATACTTAGTATCAGCATTTGTATTCCAGACTAGTAAAAAAATAGATGATGAAATACTTTTTTATTAATACTATTTTTATTTCACCTGTGTTAGAAGCTTTTCTTTCTCTTCAGTTTCCTCAGTATTCAGAGGCATAGACTCATCTATCTTCTTTTGTTCCTCTTTTTGTGCCTGAGCTGCATTTGGGAGGTCAGGATTCCTGGGGACCTAAAATCAGGGGTATCAATAAGCAGTAGTGCAGCAATGTTATTAAAGAGACTCTACACTTTTCTACCAACCTGGGTTTACAATTTATAAGCACAAGTTAGATCTCCCAGGACTTATATAGTCCACACCCACTAAGATTTTTTTTTTTTCCACAGAATAAAAAAAACCAAAGAAAACTGCCACCCCACACCTTGGCTACCCTGAAGAAACCAAACCACAATAAAAATACTTTTTTAAAATAACTATCAGAATATTTTCATCAGTATCTACAAAACTATTGCAAAATCGAAATACTATCCTCCAAGACAAGGTGATGTATCAAATACTGTCATTTATCTATGCTTGTTCTTTCTTTTCTCACAAGCTCTTAATGTAAAGTTTATCTGCACCTCTAAGTAACGAAAGGGTCCTATTTACATTTTCTTTATGGAACTTCAGTGCAAAACACTGTAGAATACACGGTAATACAATGGTAAAATACATTTTTCCAACTATTAAATATTACAGCATAGATATGTACAACAGTTACCAAATGTGTTTTACCTAGATTCGAATCTTATTGCTTAAACCCTTCCTCCAAAAAACAGCACTAGATTTTGTCAAATGTATGTTGCAATTTTGTTATGCCCTATACCCACCACTTTTACACACAATGACTTAGGGATATCAAGCCTCACCTAGCATAAGCTCTCACAGTTCACAGATTTCAGTGGCACTTGTCATTAGCTAAGGATCTGCTCTCCATTTAGAATGTTTTATAACTACAGTGAAATACTAAGTTCTGCTAGGTTTACTATAAAGCTATGCACAGTGCCAAAGGAAGGACCAGGCAGACAAGATTAGGTAAACAAGGCCTAGCAACATTTTACCTGTCCCTCTCCACACTGACACCAATTTAATATTTGTGACCTTTAAAATGTGTATTGCAATTCCATACCACAAAACAGCAAACAAGTCAGAAACCAGTATCCAGCAAAGATTTTGTGGACCTTACATAGTTCTGCAGCAGAAGGCAAAGGAAGTTAAGAGCTGTTTTTAACATCTGGCTAAGAAATTTTCTTGGCTTTGGTGGTTTAAGACTGACACATAGAGCTTGGTCTCTACGTATTTGATACCTTCTGACGTTGCTTATGGCAGTCTTCAGTTTTAATAATCAATTCTCTTCAGATGGCAAGTTATACTTCCATTTCAAAGCAGAACAATCGTATTTATCACTACTGCCCATACTAAGTTTTTCAGATAACATGTTTGACCTAACCAGTCTGACAGATTTCATTAACAGGACAGAAATACCTCTCTTTTTACATGCGTATTGGCAACATTAGCAATTCTCTCATCCTTATTTGTTGAAGCATTAATTGAACAATTTCATTCCCTAAGCTCATTATACTTCCTTTCTTATCTTAATTCTATCTTGCCATCCACATAAAATTCTTTTTGCTTCAAACTAGATTCTAAGACACCTTCTGCTTTTTCTTAAAAAATATATTTTGCTAATATTAATTCTATTCTTTTGCAACACCAATTTCCTATCCATTGCTTTGTATGACAAGTTTATGTTCTACAACACATTTTATATGCTATTTCTTCTTGCTGCAACCTGCCATGAAACATGCGACTTTTTAAAGTAAGTTACATGTCTAGAAGCAGGGGATCCATTTGATTTACTCGGCCAATACTGGCACAAGCAATGAAAATCAACATCAAAACAGAATCCATGTTCACTGCTTCTCCAGTAAGCAAGTAAGTCTGTTGTCTGGTTTTCTTTTTACAGTGGAAATACATTCAGACTTCTCCACACCTTTAAACATTTTATATCCCAGCAAAATGCAAGGAAAATTGATGTCACTTTACTTACCTTCCTATCAACACAAAGCCAATTTCAGTATTTCCTTAAGTTACTCTCTGCACAAGATATACAAAAGCTATAACAAAACCAAACCCATACCCTGGAAGGTGATATTATATTACCCAAAAATTATCTTCTCACCTTAGACCACATATCACACATTTGGTTTTGAGAAGTATATGAGGCATCGGAACTGTCTTTCTTTTTTCTACTCTATTTTATCGTTAGGAACCCAACACAAAACACAAAGCTACAGATATACAACTTTTAATGAAGGAAGGAATTACAGCTTGCTTTCTCTGTTCCTCAGTTGAACAGAAACAGGGGAAAACAGATTTTAAGCCATGTGCTTCACAATGAGAAGCACTTTGCAAAAAATAAGAACAGAATGATATATTTTTAGTTGCAGTCTCATTTACTTCATGTAGGTATTGTCAATGTTGCAGTAAATCTGCAAAGAGGAATACAAATACATTTCACTAATTTGAAGAGAAAAAAAAAGCATTACCTTATATCCTATAGTCTTACGATAATACAGAATTTCTTTTTCCAGAAGTTCAAATAACCTTGGTGGGAAAAACTGGAAATCCTGAATATTTGGTTGTTTTGGAGGTCGTGGAGCCTTCAAAAATACACAGGTACATTAACATTACATAAGCTTGATTTCTGTGCAATAAAGCTGCCATAATTCAGCAGCACTGGCAACCTATCACTTTGCAAATACATTAATTTTATTACCAGGATAGGGTGAGAGCCAGGGATGAACCACGGAGGAGAAAAAGAGCAAAAGAACAACATAAAAAACCCTCCAGACTTCTTACCTTTGGGACCTTTGGTTCGCTAACACGCAGGGCTTCTCTGAAATAAGCATCAACTGCATAATTAGCTTTGCGCTCTCGCTTTGGAGGCTCTATCCATTCCATCATGCTCAGCTACATGCCAAATAGAATAAAAAGGTATCACAGTAACTGTAAGCATTCCTGAAGTCACAAAAATAATGACTAATGTGGCACCGCAAAACAAGAATGTATTTTTGCACAGCAAACCTAATGTTTGTGCTCAGCAATATGGATACTACAACAGAGCTCAAAAATATGCTAGAAATCGTAGCTGGTTATAACGTATTTAAACACACAGAAGATAATATACAAGTAAGGCAGTGCAGTGGCATGGATAGATCCCTTTACAGTATTCTTACTTCAGACACCTGAGTAAGGCTATGATTCCATCTACCAAAACACAATGGAAAAACTGGGGACTTGGGACTCTGAATTCTATAATATCTTGTAATATGAATGAATTGCTTCTCCTCTAAATATCACAATGAATATCTTCTACTGAGGCTACAACGTTGGCAAAAAAAAAAATAATCCATTACCAACGAATTAATCTTAACTGAATTACTTGAATTAAACTTATTAAAGCATATTTAAAGACAATGCTGTATTTAGCTGGCTTCTTGTAATGAAATTATCAACACAGAAAAGAATCTTATGTATATACACACACATCCCACTCTAGTTTCATTAAATATTTTTGTAAATGTTTCTCCAAAATTGAAAGAAACCTGGGTTAGAAGGGCATTCTGTAGTTAACAAGTAAGAGTTCACATATCTGATTCCATGTAAGACCTTAAGGATATCTTGACTATTCGTCCCATAAAAAGCACAGGCACGCAGAGGTAACATTGTAGGACCCTGAGTAATACCCCCTTGTTTGGATGATCCTTCTATAATTAGGTAAATTGTTGTAGAAACAGTTCACATTAATGCTTGTGACTAAAACCTTCACTGCAAAAAATACTTAAGTCCTAGTTCCACATATAAAACCATTATCAGATCTGTTTTTTTTCTCTCAGTTATGTGGCAGGAACATAATACTGACTGCAGCAGTATAGTATGATGCAATATAGCATATTTACTGCAGAAAGGATAAAATTTGAGGAATATTATCGAACTTTACCACGAAGAAAAACAGTGGGGCTGAAAGCTAATTTAACAAAAATTCAGAATATTGATGCTTCTGCACAGCTAAGTTAATTTTTCAGTAGCTTATTTCTCTAGAATAACTTTTATAGCCATAACATTTCTAGTATGGCCTTTACGCTTGCACCTCTAAACTAAAGTCTTCAAGAAAAATTACCTTTTGTTTTTCTCTATAATCTTCACCTTCAAAGTTGTACAAGCTCATCTCTGTGTCCATAGTGAAATTTCGTAAGGAGCTCTCCCCCATTTTCTGCAAACGTTCATTCATTTCAGCTGTCTAAAAATACAGGGAGATACTTGTAGGCTCATTCAAGCTGTTTTATCTTTTCATCATTATTAAAACATTTTCAATTTCTTTTTCTGCTTTGAACTTTTCCTTACATTTTTCTTGTAAGGAGAGACGCCCATAGTGCTTTTCAATTTTGAACAATCTGATTCCAAGACTTTCCATTAAACTAAATTTATTATGCCGGGAGGTAGCCCTACAACTGTGTGATTTAACTTTTAAATTTAAATGAAATTTATGCCCAACCGTTTGGAGCTGAAATTGTAGTTCATTTTTCCACAGAGCTGCCTGTTCCCTAATAAAGTTCCATAAAGGTTTTGTGTCTGTTAGAATTGTTGGCATAAAATTTACATCTTTCTAAAAGCCCACAAAACAAACAGTGCTTAAGATACGGTGCACACCATCTGAACTTTGAAAATAATTATAACTCACTAATTCTACTCCTTCAAAACTTTCATAAGCTTTAAAATATTTATGAATAGTAAAGTAATAGTTGGGCATAAAAATAGATTTACATAATCAGACCTAATTTGTATTTTGTGCATATATATTTAATGTTTGACACATTTAGAGTTCTGTACAAAACTGTTCTCTAACCTTCTTTTCACCTCTTTCTAAAATGGTGGTTATATCTTCTTCCGTCAGCTCACTATCTTTGGAAGCAAAAACATGCGTGGCTCCATGACGGATCATCTGCAGCATTTCATCTTTTGCCAGTTTGTTAGACTGTTGGTCTATGAGCCTTCCTAAAATTAGAAGAAACATGTTGAAAGTTGTAACACAAAAGCTTTAGTAGGACTATGCAAACAGTGGAATTTTTTAGTTCACTGGCAGAACAATAATGGAAAAGCAAAAGAACCATACAGAAAAAATTATGTTTCACTTGAGCTGAAAATAAACAGAAATCAGGAACTTCAGGGGAAATAAAAAATTAACAACTTTGGATCACATTCAGGTAATCCAAATTTTATGTTTAAGATCTTATTTTTACAAAGTTAGCTGAACTTTTAAGATAAAAATCCTATTTCAAGATGAAAAATGGCAAAGTATTTTGTAATAACTATTAAGAAGTACTTAAGATTTTTAACACTCACTTCACTGATTTCAGCCCAAATCTCTGAACACTTTTCCCAAAATTCTAATTTCTGTCCCAAATTTTCACTTATCCTATCTCATCTCTTCACAAACAATCCAAATTTTGACCGTCATGCTTTCAGTAGCCCACCCTTTTGGAAATACAACCTTCAAAACTTAGCTTGAGAACCTTAGTTTTAGCCAAACTATTCTTCCAAGACCTTCTGAACAAAGACCCACAAAGCAGTTTTAATATTCAGTAAATTCATATGCGGTAAGAAGCACGTCTATATAATTATTTTTACCTGTCATGGAACATGTCTTTTTTTCTTTTTTTCCTTTTTAACATATCACAAAACCCAAGTAACATCTATTCAGCTGTAGTTTGCTTTCCTCACTTAAGAGTCTTAATACTAAGTCTATGCCCACATTATCTAGGAAAACCAAATGTTTTTTCAAAAATTTCAGCTGAACAAGTAAGTTATACATTATAGTTTCTTAGGTCAACTCGGTGTACTGCTATTATACACAAGGCCTGCTTTCTCTCATGCTGTACATCTGTACAGTTATTAACCCATACTTTAAGGGACTGAACAGTTCTGTTGCAGACAAACACATATAGCAGTTGATACCTTGTTGTATAACTATAGAGTCCAGTCTCAGTTTTATTTCAGCTCTTTCTACAATCCTCTCTTCAACAGTATTATCAGTGATTAGTCGAAACACCCGTACTGGTTTCTTTTGACCAATACGATGCGCACGATCCTAACAAACATAAATCAATGAGTGTTCAGCAACAAAAACTCACAAGCAATAGACAGTTAGCTTGCTATATAGCAGAAACAGCAGACTGAAACTAGCATATATTTCTTGGTTCCTCGCTTATTCAAGAGTATACAAAAACATAAAACCAGTATAGTAGTATTTTCTTATATCTGGCTATTACACCTTTTAAGTTTGGGTCATTCTATAGTAATAAATGCGTTTACCTCATTGTAAATGAAGATAACGAAATGTCTGTCTAGAATGCAGCTGGGAAGTGGAGATACAACAGTATATACATACACACATGTGCACTGTTTTCAAACTAATTCTCCTACTTCACATAGGTATTGAAACTTTGGTATCCCTGGCTTCAGCATATTAATTCCACAAGCAAAGTCCATGCAGCCACAGCTTCAATACTGTAGTTGTCCCAAGCTAGCTACATTAAAGCATCAACATGCAGCTCACATAGTACAGCTACAATACACAGCAAATGAGGTTACATGACTAACATATCACACTTCTTTGTAACAAAACTTGTGTTTATTCTCTCTGGAAAGCATGAATAAAAATACCGTTTTGTCATCTTAAATAAAAAAGGTTAGACAACTGGCCTGCAAGCTGTTGGTACCAGGATTTTCTGACTGTCCTTTAAACACGAGTCGTTAAACCTTTTACTCTCCTGCATAACACTCACTTCTTCCTGAAAATCCTACTAAAGCTCACAAATCAGACTCATCAGTTTCCAGGAAGTCAGTTTACTATTGGTAGTGAGCATGCATATCAAAAGGATGAGTTATGCACAGTAAATCTTTGATGTGTTTAAAGGCATTTAAAAAAAAAAAAAAAACAAACCACACCAAAACAAGAAACAAAAACTCCCCACAAACCGCAGAACAAATACTCCAACCCCCCAATCATGCAAGAAGGATCATGTGATTTTTATTCCACATGAAACAAATTATAGACTTGATTTTTTGATATTCGGCACTCAGAGAAGATTTTAGTATGTTGAACACAAAGATAAGGGGTTTTTTTTTTTTCCCCCCAGCGTCACCACTGAATGATTTTTACACTTATGCATAAACAACGCAGGTTGCAAAGTCATAAGCTTCCCAGAAGGGAGGAATATAAAGCTGCATGCTTTTAATTCTTTGCTATTATTTTGAAAGCAGCCCTCTTATTCATTTACTGTTCTCTTCTGGAAAGACAGAATTCAGGATAATTCTATGGATAAACAAGACTGAGACAGTATTTTGACAGAAGTAATTATTTTCATACTTGAGTAATATTAAGACAGATATTTACAGAGAAAATAACTAGTTTCTTCCACAATTCTGTTCATGCTCTTTTTATTAAATTCCTTAGTTTGTTGGTATTAAATACAAAAATTAACGAAAAATAACAAAAATTACTTTCTTAGACAAAATAGAACAATGACACCTTTAACAAACAAATGTGTATCAGGCAGTTAACTCACCATGGCTTGCAGATCTACTTGAGGGTTCCAGTCTGAATCATAGAGAATAACCACATCAGCAGTTGCTAAATTAATTCCAAGACCTCCAGCTCTGGTACTCAGCATGAAAATGAATTTGCTGCTGTTGGGAGCATTAAATGTGTCTATTGCTTCCTAAAAGAAAAAAAAAGTGTTATTAAAATATCAGAGTTTTCAATCAAGCTTCCAGTATGTTGATGGCTTTTCAATGAAATTGCTTTGAAAACTAGAGAATTTTCATACCAAAACCCATTTTCTACAGAAGTAAGAAACTGTAGGTTTGCACAGGTGGAAAAATCCCTTCTGAGTCCATGAAATATTACAGATTTCATTTAGTTGAGGAACAAATGAGACCTACTTTACTGTGGACTTTGGTTAGGAAAAACACATACCCTTAGCAGCCTCTTTAAACAATGATGTAGCTACTTTTTTTTGTATGTGTATATATATATGTAAATAATAACTTCTTAATAACTAGTACGTAAAACAAAGACATTTATTGTTTATATACAACTTCCTCACCTCTCTTTCTTCATGTGGTGTCTGTCCATCAAGTCGGCAGTACTCATATCCACGCCACATGCAGTAGTCTTCCAAAATATCCAGTAAGCGAGTCATCTGACTAAAAAGTAGAACTCTGGAACCTGACAGAACAACACAGAAGGTTTTGTCATTGGTTTTATGTCTTCACATTAATCTTATCACAGAACCTACTATACAGCATGAAATATTCTGTAACATGCCTAACTTACTCAAGTAAGTCTTTCTTCTGAAGTTACTTTTCTGGTTGATCTAACGTCTCCTCAAGACAGGTTATTTATTAATTTTATAGAAGAAATACACAGCTGAAGAAACAGAACACTTAAAACCACGGTAAGATAAGTAGCCAACAACTGATGTGCACAAACTAATCTTCTCATCAGAAATTTTCTTAAAGACAGCAGAAGGGAGGATCTGCTCTTCCTTTCTTTCTGCCTTTTCATAGTATTAGCCTTTCTCATCATTCCTGTAAGACTTCCTTCCCTCCATGTGTTAAGATTACAGAACAATTATTTTCAACAAAAGCCTCACTGAAAGTAATGAATGCATTCACTGGAGGAAAGACAAGAATGAAACTGTGCAATTTTTGAAAGGTAGTTTTACTTACGAGCACTCAGATCACTACTGTTCATAAATGGTACTCACCTTGCTCTCTGAGTTTTGCTAGCAGTTTATCCAGAACTAACATTTTACCACTGTTAGTGATGAGATGTGTGTCAGTGGTGTAAGGAGGGCCCGGCTCAGCACCATCAAATAGATAAGGATGGTTACAGCATTTCCGCAGCTGCATCAGAATATTCAGCAGACGCATCTTATCCATTTTCCCAGCTGAATTCAGGATATCAATATCTTTCATCAGGATCCTTGTATACCTGAAGTTTTACAGGCAATTTTGAACAACTCAGTTTTTATTTGATATTTAAAACACGAACAAAATCTTGCAACATCCCAATTACTTATTTCTGGATGTGGGAGTTTGCTTTGTTTATGTAATAATGAGCTATATTATTATAAAACTTGGCAAAAATGTCTGACCAATAATTAGGATTTATAAACCCAAACCTAAACGTGAAAGATAATTTATCTGTGAGTTACAATGATCTGTCATTTACTGGGTTATCTTACACTTCCATTTTAGGACTACGAAGTGGATGCACTTCAATCATTTATTTGATTGAAGTGCTACACTGACCTGGCTCCTTTTCTTACATCTCTTCTGGGTATGTGGCTCCTCACGGTTTTATTTTAATTTTAGTTCAGACTTTTACTGGTGCATACATACTTGCATCAAAGGAGGACACTTATTAGGTCTATGTACTTTCAAATAAAATTAAGGAAGGAAAAGAAGTTTCTACTTTCTTCCTCCCAACACAAAGAGCTCAGGAGGGGTAACGAAAAGTAACTTGTGCATTTTTTAAAATAGCCCCAAAGACAGCTATAAAGAAGCTTCTCCATTTGACTGTCTTAACATGCAATTACAATAAAAAATATCAGCACGAAGAGTTGTAGTGTTCTTTATCAGAAAAGAATCTTACTTTGATGTAAATAACTCACCATTCCCTCTGCATTTTGCTGAGCCCAAGATAAATTTTTACTTCCTTCTTTGGAGGCAAACTCTTTTCTACTTCAGCTTTTATGCGACGTAGTAAAAATGGCTTCAAAACCTACACAAATTAAAAGGTTTTCCACAGATAAATTTATAAAATTGATTGCCTCAAATACAAAATTAACAGATTCAATTATCTGATTCAATTATTCAGAATTAATCAATATCTATTGCTGTCACGGTGACTCCTTCAGAAAAATTCTGCTGAAGTCTGTAAAATGAAGTTGTCCACTGATAGGTTAAGTTCACACATAAATACATAACACCACATAATAATTGCCATATTCAACCCAGTAGTTATCCTACGCAAGGGTCAAACCCATAAGCTTCTAAGATCTATTTACTACCCTTTAACATAAGTTCTGTTTCATTTCCGCTAGCAGTGTATAAAAAATACACCAACATTTCAAAGATAAGCAATATAAGTTGTACTTCCTCCTGATTTGTTACTGTATGATGAAAAACTTCTATTATCTCATGCACAGTAAAACAAAGGTAAATGCATGCCTGTATTCAGACTAGCATGACATGTATCAGTGTGCTATTCACAATAATAAATGGTTTCAGAGAGATCTCACAATTCTTCCATTTTCACATTTTAGGTATAGATTTTGTCTGCTTCAAACAGTAATGTTACAAAACCAGTATCTATAACAGTAAGTTCCAATATTTAATTAATGAAAATTCTGCTGGGCATTTCTGTAATTAAATACCTTCACATTCATCTTCACAACTTTGAGATGAAGGGGTAAATAATCTATTTTTCTTTTTTACATGGTGTATGCTAACGATGACATGTGATTACAGCTTTAATTACTTACAGCATGAAGTCTTTCTACAAGTTTCTGATCACCAAGACAATTTTTAGTGTCGAACCATGAGTCAAAATCCTGTGGTGAGATACAGCACAATTGGTATGAACAGTTTATCATCTGTAGTTTTAACAGACACATATTGACTCTCTTTCACTCCAGCTGAGAGTGGCATAAATCTCAAGATAAATGACTTCTATGAGTGAAAGAAAAATCAGTCTGTGATTCTGTGCCAGCTCCCCAGCACATTATAACATTCAAGTCAACTGAGTAACTCCGCAGACAAAATACTATCACTCTGCTTAATTCGCAATGGTTTTCCACAGCCATCACAGCAGTGTCCAAGTTCTCCCCCTTTGTGCTTGTGTAATGATGGGGCAAGAAGGAAAAAAAAAGAAAAAGAAACCAGAATACTTACATAAATGAGATGGGCAATAGAGCAAAACCAATGGAAGAAAGCAATAGAAGTACAAGAAAACATTAACAGTAAGAGGAGAAATATGACTCCAATTCTAAATGAAAAAAAGGCTTATGCCTATTTGGATGCTTCATATTCTTCATTCTGCATTGCTTTCCCAAATTTTATTCCACTTTGCATAATTCTTGAACTATTTAAAGTATTACTGGCCTGAGGCCTTACCTGCACTAACAGAATGCAGTGGTTTAACTAGGTAGAGCAAAAAAAGTAGTCTACAGTTAGGTAAGCCACAGAGCTTCTACTGAATCCAGGTCTTCCACATTGTATGTCTACAACTAGGCTGGTCATTCATCTCTTCTGCAGAAAGCAGCCTGGGAATCAACACAACATGAACAAGACTACTTCCAAACTTCAACTTACATCTGCAGAATTGAAGACATCAGGTAAAAGAAAATTGAGTAATGCCCACAACTCATGGAGGTTATTCTGTAAAGGAGTTCCTGTAAGCAGCAATCGATTTGTTGTCTTGAACTCACGTACAATCTCTGACAGCTAGAAATACAACAAATAGTTATGATTATCATGTACATTTAAGCATAATGAATTTTCATCAGTTTCTGAAACCCAAAACAATGTCAACTAAATTTAAAGACAGTGAGCTACCTATGAAATTCATATTTACCATCCAATAGCTTACAGCTTATATTTAAAAAAAACCCATGACACCAAACATTTAAAATCTGCTAAAATCAGATGGAATCTTTTGTGTCAAATTATCTTCAAAGTATCAAATAATTTTGAGTTTACCTTAGACTTCTCATTCTTTATTCTGTGGGCTTCATCAATTACCAGGTACCTCCAGTTAAATTTTTTGAAGACTGATTTCTCTTTAATTACCATTTCATATGATGTAACACAAACATCCCATTCACCAGGCATCATAACATCACGGATAAAAGCAGCCTAAAGCAGAACAATTTCATTAATAAACATTTATAAATATGAACAATTTATATGGAATTTAGTGAAACCTATCTCCGCCAGCATTACTGATGCGTTAAGCTAGCACACAAATGACAACTCAAACATCTTTTCAGTAAGTGAAAGTTACCGTAACAAAAGCCTTCAACCCCTTGTCCTGTAGGCACAGACAGATCAGCTGGGGTTAAGCAAAACACAAATTTTCTCCTATTCAAAATGAAATATTTACTCTTCAGCATAGTTTTTCTGTAATTTAGACACAGTATATACTACCAATATGGAAAAAACCCTTTAAACTAGTCCAAAGAGACAATCGACAACAAACTATTTAAAAAAAACCTCACATAGCCCACTCCTATCTTCTATCTTTCCTAGAAAGATCTCCCTCCTCTGTCCCACCTCTGTTTTGTAAGCAATACGTATCTGGGCATATAAATCCTTTCACATGAAAGAGTATCATCCTATGGAAAAGCCACACAGGCAGGTCTCCAAGAACTTCCTTAGTAGGGTACACTGATCACCCCAGATAGTAGGATTGACAGAACTGTTCAAGTCCACGGCCTTGAAGAGCAACCAAATACAAGAGTGTGTGGTGCAATACACTATGCACTGCCTTACAAACGCAGATGTAAACTCAGAGGTGCTTTAGCCACCACAGAACAGAGAGATTAAGTAGAAAACAAGGAAATGAAAAGTTATGACAACACAAATGTAAGATTCTGAAAAAAAAAGGAAGTACAAAGTGAAGGTGCACACTTTGCTTCAACACAATCTTAATTTCATTGCACGGAATTAGCAATAAACACACTGTGGTACAACAGTTATCAGACTTCAAATTAAAACAATCTGCAAAGAGCAGTACAGTCAAATCCAAGACTATAGCACTGGAAGGAACTTTCCAAATCACTGGCAGAACCAGCAGTTCCTCTCACAGAATCATAGAATCGAGTCCAACCGTTTACCCAGCATGGCCAAGTCCACCACTAAACCATGTCCCTAAGCACCATATATAGATGTCTTTTAAATATCTCCAGGGATAAGGACCACTTCCCTGGGCAGCCTGTTCCAGTGCTTGATAACCTTTCCAGTGAAGAAATTTTTCCTGATATCCAATCTAAACCTCCCCTCAAGCAACTTGAGGCCGTTTCCTCTCATCCTACTGCTTGTTACTTGTGAAAACAACCACAGTTCCCTCAGCTACTCCCCATCAGCCTTCGGCTCCAGATCCCTCACCAGCTTCATTGCCTTCCTCTGAACACTCTCCAGCACCTCAATGTCCTTCCTGGAGCGAGGGGCCCAAAACTGAACACAGCATTGGAGGGGCGGCCTCACCAGTACCAAGTACAGGGAGACAATCACTTCTCTACTCCTGCTGGCCACACTGTTTCTGATATAAGCCAGGATGCCATTGGCCCTCTTGGCCACCTGGGCATACTGATGGCTCATATTCAGCTGGCTGTCAACCAACACCCCCAGGTACCTTTCTGCTGCAGCTTTCCAGCCACTCTTCCCCAAGCCTGTAGCGTTGCATGGGGTTGTTGTGACCCAAGTGCAGGACCCGGCACTTGGCCTTGTTGAACCTCATACAACTGGCCTCAGCACATTGATCCAGCCTGTCCAGGTCCCTCTGGAGAGCCTTCCTACCCTCCAGCAGTAACAGGCAGCCTTGCAATCCATATGAGGAGCCACAGATTTAACAGGAACATCCAGCTCATTGATCCCCTTCAGGTTAGAAAACCACCCTATATCTATTTTAAGGCCTTCGATATGAAAAATGAAAAGCTCTACAACGG